GGTTCTTTAAAAAGCGACAAACAGTGATTAACTGAGCAAACCAATCTTTTACCAGCTAATAATAATAATATTAATAATAATACATTGAATATGGAACCCACTGATTTTTAATTAAACCAATTAAGCTTCTCTTTAAAAAGTAACTATGTTCCAAGCTATATGACTATCAAGCTCTAGCAAAACCCCACAGGAGATTCCTGTGGTTTTGTAGATATTCCACCAGAGTCTGCCCACTCTTTGTCTACATAAATCTTTGGCTTGATTTAGCAGGGATTGTCTTTTGTATTTATGTGATTGTGTCACCTGCTTAAAATATTTATAGTAATATAGTATGGGAAACATGTGGGGGAAGTGATAAAATCTCCTTCTTTGAAAATTTTCATGAGTGCTGGATAGACATAATATCAGCAAATAGTTTGTCATGAGGTTCAGGCTTAGATAGATCACTGGTGTCATTTTTCTTGAAGATGTTATCCTTTTAGAGTATTATTTTTTAAAGCAAGTCTTAGTGGAATTTTGACCACTCTGTCAAAACAGTTACTGAATGCTGTTTAAGATCTAGTCCAAATGTGCAGAAATGTTGAGAGGGCAGGTAGCCTAAGAATCTGCAATCTTGGTCTAGTGATGGTATGTTAGTGTGGCCTTAAGATGCTTATTTATTCTCCATACAGAGAGGCAAATTTCAAAGACTGACAGCTGCAGTGGGAATGTACCAAAAAGCTAATCAGAAGTGACTTAGAGACTGTTTACTCAATCTTGTTGTCAGGCCCAACTAAATAAGTCCCACTGAATCAATTAAATTTACATAAATGTTGACTCACCAACTTTCCATAGATTCAATAGGATTACTCAAGCTAGGACTAACACTTGTATTTAGGCCATTGGTTGCAAGCTCTTCATCATGTACACATTACAAGTTTCAATGACATATCTTAATTCACCATATTAAAACAAAAGTTACCAATGAAAGAGTTCAATTGATCAACAAATAGCCAGTGGGATGTGGTGGTTTAAATGGTGGGCTAGGACTGTGGGAGTCAGCCATGGAAATCCACTGAATGACTTTGGGGAAATCACACTCCCTTAGCCTTAGGGGAAGACAATTACAAATCTACTCTGAATATACGGGCCTCGGCAGACGGCTAATTGAGCTATCTTCCGGGCCCAGAAGAGGAGGGGCAGCTGCACGAGCGGCGCCCCTTCCTCTTCCCGAGGTCGCCCTCAGAGTCGCTGGCCCTTCGCACGGCCGGCGCTCCGGGGATGACCTCACGCCGCGGCGACCGGACGCGCCGCGGTGTTTGAGTCAGGGAAAGTGCGCCCGCTGCTTTTAGGGCGCACTTTCCCTGAAATCTGAAAGGAGCGCCAATTTGGAGCTCCTTTTAGATTCGCCGCAGGAGCGCCACGGTGCGGAGGCTCAGCTCCGCCGGTGCTCCGACCCGCGGCGCACGGGAAGCTCCCGTCTGCTTCCCCCCTACCTTGCCAAGAAAACCCTCTGATAGGGTTGCCATTCGGCTTAGAAATGGAGATGAGCACCGCCCCCTATGGTCGGACCAACTTGACAACCTTGTCAATGGGGAATACATTTACCTTTAAGGTGGAGTCAGCCTAAAGACACACAACAATAGGGTATGAATACACCTGTCCAAAGAGTTGCATTGCATCCAAGGTGTTCCAGCTGTGTCAGAGATTCACCATGTGTAGTGTCATATTACAAGAAGACCTAGCTCTGATTGAATTTGGACTGAAGGATCTGCCCTGTTAAGACTATAGCACCTCCCAGCTGACGTTCTCATTCTCCCTTTCCCCCCCTGTCTAATAAGGATGCTACTCACTAGGGATGGGAAGAATATTAAAAGAGCCGTGGTGGCACACAGCCACTTACTCAGGCTCGACTCAGCCTGGCATCCTTCTGAGGTCACTAAAATGAGT